TTTAGCTTTCAGCTCTAGAGTATAATATGGAACAGTTAATGTGTATTCATAGTCAGTGAAAATTTTTACCTTATATAATTCTAGATTTTTATATCACTCTTTAGATTTATCAGTAATAGTCCAGTTTTCTTTCATGGAGCCATATTTACTTCTAGTGTAAATTGAAGGCATATAAATTTGGAATCCAAAAAATAAATATTGCTCCCCTGGATGCTCCTGAAAGTACTGGTTCTTGAATCCAGCTGTAAACATGAAATTTTTATAAATTTTGATATTAGGTATCATGAGTGTTTTATTTCTTTTAGTCCTTGTGTTCTTGACCAATTTAATGATTTTTTCCTATGTAAAAAAACTGCAGTTTAGATAATACAAATGGAAATAAATTTAGTGGGTTAGGAATAAGTTATTACTTTCATTTTATCTGTTATATGATTAAATATTTAAATGTTAAGTTCCTTTAATTTTGTGCAGTTTTTAATGCAATGATGTGTGTATTCTGTTGCTAACAATCTTATATAGGATTCTCAACATAATATTAGCTGCTGAGATTCTGTGAGGGAAGGCTTACCACCAAAAGGTTCACATTTTGAAAGTTCAGTTAAACATGCTCATAGATTATGAAACTGACTTATAATGCCAAAGTTCCAGTCTGTTGTAGGTTAGTTATGAGAGAGATAGAAATGGAAGTTTCTCTTATAAATGTGAATTGTAATGCTATCCTAATTGTGCTTTGTAATTTATTAGATGTTGGTTTTAAATAATTTAGGTCATTTTGTTGGAACCATCGACCTGTTCAAATAATTACACCTAATAATTATAGAGAATCCTTACCATGCACCATTTGCTTGGAATTTATTGAGCCTATTCCAACTTATAGCATATTACGAAGTCCTTGTTGTAAGAATGCTTGGTTTCATAGAGACTGTTTACAGGTAAGATGTTTTGTAAGCCTTTTCTGATATAAAATTTGTTGCTTGCTGCTTAAAATTTAAAATTGGAAAGAATTAACATGTGTATTTTAGCTCATGCTACTTGTAACTTTTTAAAACATCTTTATTAAAATATCTTCTTGACAAAAATGCCAACTCCATCTTTAATATCAAGGAAATCTGATTGTCCATATGGTACCACAGATCTGTTAATATGTAACATGTTATTTAGTAACCTGCTGTATAAAATTGTTCATAAGCCATATTTTAATGGCTTAAAAAATGCTTAATGTGCTCCATTTGCAGTATAACTTCTAATATAACTTGCAATATAACTTTCCGCTATGTGGTAGGAATTTGTAAGAGGTAATGAGAGGCAAAGGATATTAGAATAGCAAAAATGGCCCAACCTGCATGGCTCAGTGGTGGAGCGTCTGCCTATGAACCAGGAGGTCGCAGTTCGATTCCAGGTTGGGGCTTGGTTCCTGGTGGGGGGCTTGCGGGAGGCAGCCAGTCAGTGATTCTCTGTCATCATTGGTATTTCTGTCTCTGAAATCAATAAAAAAAAATATATTTTTTAAAAGTAGCAACAATGTTTTTATGAATTAACCTTTAGTATGGCAATAAGATGTGAATAAAAGTAAACTATTGTTATCTAAAAAAATAAATAGAAACTTTATTGAAGCCTATTTTACATTAGGGTAAATTCACCCTAATGAATTGTACAATTAATATTTTAATACTTTAGATACGACTTTTTAATCTATATTTATCTAATGATTTTATTTGTTTCACAATAAATAAAACATTTATTGTCAAGTTATTTACATATTTAAGCTTAGAAAACCAAGATATGTGAAATGATTATGTAATTATAAGCTAAGATATTTAAATGTTAGAGGCCTTTCCTATTGTATGTCAAACCTGATGACAAGTTTTCAAGTAAACGAAATAACATGAAATTTGACATTAAACAATTTAATATTATTTTATTCAGAAGATATTTGAAAGTTAAAAAAATCTCAGTTATTAGTAACATTAAATATGTAGTATTCATGTAGTAAAGTGCCAACTGATAGTTATAGTTCATAGAATGCCAAATAACAAAGGATTTACTTGCTTTTTAAACCTTGGGTTTTATTATTGTTTACTAAAATAAAAGGAGGTTACTACTGATTATAGATTATCCACAAATCTTTTTTTTCCCTTTTAAGTTAAGAGATATTGCAAATCCTCTTATATATCAACTAGAGGCCTGGTGCATGAATTTGTGCATGGGTGGGGTCCCTCGGCCTGGCCGGTGATTCGGGCTGATTGGGGCCTTCTCTCCCAGTTCCAATTGTGGTCCATTGGGGCTGATTGGGGCTGGCCAGCCGGGAGGAGGGACCGCGGGATGTTGGCCGGCCACGGGTGGTTGACTGTGGGAGCACACTGACCACCAGGGAGCAGCTCCTGCATTGAGTACCTGACACCTGGTGGTCAGTGCACATCATAGCTATCATCAAGTCGTAACGGTTGCTTAGGATTTTATATATATAGACTAGACGCCCGGTGCACAAAATCTTGCGCAGGTAGGGTCCCTAGGCCCAGCCTGCAATCAGGGCCATCTTCTTCCCACACGTCAGTCCCCAGTCCCGCCATGCCACCACTCACCCCAGTTCCCCATGGTTCCCCATTGGCCATTCAGCGATCGGAGCCTGCAGACTGCAGGGAGAGATCGAGAGGTGGTCAATGTACCTCATAGTGACTGTTTGATTAGTCGTTCTGATCATTGCATCTTTACAGTCCCTGGCCTCTTATTAATAGAGAAAGGGCAAATAGCAATATTAAAATATTTCATCTAATTTATTCCCTTTAAATGTGCATGAATTTTGTGCACCAGGACACTAGCATTTTTTTTTAAATTTTATTGATTTTTTTACAGAGAGGGAGGGAGAGGGACAGAGAGTTAGAAACATCGATGAGAGAGAAACATCGACCAGCTGCCTCCTGCACACCTCCTACTGGGGATGTGCCCGCAACCAAGGTACATGCCCTTGACCGGAATCGAACCTGGGACCCTTCAGTCCGCAGGCCGACGCTCTATCCACTGAGCCAAACCGGTTTGGCAGAGGAAATATTTTAATATTACTATTTGCCCTTTATAATAGAAGTGTCTGGCCGGCCCCACCCCCATTGGGCAACACCAAGACTCGGCCGGCCTCAGCCCCATCTAGCCCCGCCGGGAGGGGGACACAGCCTCACGTCCCGGAGCCGGGGTGGGGGTGTGGCCTCAGGTCCCCTGTCAAGCCCTGATGGGTGGGGGGTGCAGCCTCAGGTCCCCCGCCCCAGCCCGGCACCATGCAGCCTCAGGTACCTGCTGATTGGTGTGATGGTGTGACGACCATTTGCATACTAGCCTTTTATTAAGATGATAGTCTTAAAAGTACTAACAGTAGTTAAAGTAGTAAAGGTTAAATGATTACTTTCAATTTTTTGTATGAGCCTTGAACATTTATATTTAGGGCTATTCAGTGAAAAGTGGCAAAATGGAACCGATTTTGTTGGGTAAATATTAGAAATTCTGTTAATTCTTACAAATAAGTGTTTGTGAAAGGATCCAGAGGGTGTAGTTCATAAACATCATGAAGTGTTATCTGTACCTATCGAAGAAGAAGTTCACATTCTATGAGAATCTTTAAAAAGTAATTTATCTTAATTGTATTTGGATGAATGTAATTGCTGCCAAATGTATCTTATTAATTTTGTAACAGTATGTTATTTTTCAAGACAAATAAGATTTGCCTCATTTATCTCTCTATATATCTATATATATAAAAGTATAATATGCAAATCGACTGGATGGCGGAATGACCGGTCGGCTATGATGCGCACTGACCACCAGGGAGCAGACGCTCAATGCAGGAGCTGCCCCCAGCCTGCAGGCCCTGATTGCCCAATTGGGGCCTGCCAGCCAACCTCTTGTTCCCTACCCCCAGCCGGCAGGCTCCAATCGCCTGATGAGGAACTGGGAACCGGGGTTGGGTGGTGGCAGACACAGGTGGTGCCAGTGCCCTGATCACTCTGCTGGTTGCCCCACACACAGAGGGCGGCGGGGGTGGAGGGGGCCGCTGCCGGCAGCTGGGGCAGATCGGCCATGATTGCAGGCCAGGCCTGGGGACCCTCCCCTTGCACGGATTTCGTGCACCGGGCCTCTAGTGTGTTAATAATGAATCAGAGAGAGGTTCTCAAACTTGACCTAGTATTCACCAGGCTTTTTGTGAACACTCTGAAGATACCAAGTTTCTAATTCTGTCATTAAAACGTAGAAATAAGTCCTAGCTGGTTTGGCTCAGTGGATAGAGTGTCGGCCTCAGGACTAAGGGTCTGGGGTTTGATTCTGGTCAAGGTCACTTACCTCAATCCCTATTGGAGGCAACCATTGAATCCAGACTATTTTCAGAGCTCATACTATTAACCACTATACTGTTTTATTTCTATATAGTAGATGTTATTAAACTGTAATTCTTAAATCCAATATTTGAGCTATTGTTTAAATTACATCATTTCCATTTTCAACTAACAAGGAACCTCTACAGAAAACCAGTTTAGCCCTAAGACAGTTTTGCTCAGTGGTTAGAGGACTGAAGGGTCTCAGGTTTGATTCTGGTCAAGGGCACATACCTGGGTTGCAGGCTCGATCTCTGGCCCTAAGTCAGGGCCCATGCAGGAGGCAACCAATCCATGTGTCTTTCTCACATCAGTGTTGCTCTATCTCTGTCTCTCCCCCTTCCTAAAAATCAATGGAAAAAAATACCCTCGGGTAAGGATTAAACAACAACAAAAATACAGCCACATGGATACCTGTCTATGATATAAGTATTAATAAGCAATTGTTACTTGACTGGAGTTCATTCATATTCTCTATAGGAGTTCCAGTGGCTTTTCCACCCTAGTACTAGAATCTTAACTGAAATAATAAATGGAATCTGCCCTATCTAGATAGCTACAATAATACCTGAATAATTATTTTAAATATCTGAATTCATTAATATAAAAGAGTCAAAGGAAGAACAAACTTAATGCAATAGAATGCAAAATTTTGAAAAAAACCTATGCAAAAATTTCATTGTTTTTACCACTACAAATGCTATATTATACATTGGGATTTTGTGAGGAGAGACTATAGGTTAATATAAAAGAAATTAATGGACCCCAGCCGGTGTTCCTAAGAGGTTGAGCATCAACCCATTCACCAAGAGGTTGGGGGTTCAATTCCCAGTTCTGGGTTTCAGGCTAGATCCCCGGTGGGGGCTATGCAGGAGGCAGCCAAGTCAATCAATGTTTCTGTCTTCTCCCTCTCAATTCCTCTCTGAAAAATAAAAACATCAATAAAAACATGTTAAAATTAATGGAAACCTTTCACTCTGGCTATGTAGAGAATTGTCACTATTCTTGTTCATTTTGGATTTCTCCTTCATTGTTCTGGTCTTGGTATCTTCCATATGCCCTCTGGTGTTTTTTCCTCCATACTAGACACTTACTTTTTGTATCACATCCTATATTTAGTATGTATTACAATTGCTTGCAGACCCTTTAGGTTTAGATTTCAGAAACTTGTTGCTTTCCTACCACATGGGTGTGTGTGTGTGTGTTACTTGGTAGTAGTTTGAACCTGGGCTCCTATTTGTTAACTTCTTTCTTCACCATCCGAAAATCATTCCCGAACCCAAGTCTGTCAGGTCTACCTAATAGATATTTTTGTGTGTACTTTTTCGTTGCTGTTCTCTCCCTCTATTTTAACTAGACTTTTGTAGGAGCTTACTGAGCTGGTCTTTCTCCTGCATGCCTTATTTCCTATAATTTCTTCACACTATCGGTTTTGATTTACCTGTTTAGCCTCCTTACTTAGTTCACTATGGCCAGCCTGTCATCCTAAGTTTATTAATTAGTTTTCTAATCACATGTGCTTACTTGTTTTGATATATGCTTGATTTGATATATGCTATTTTCTAGTTTTGTAATATCTTTTGTCCCATTTTCCTGGCAGACTCCTGTGTCTTCTTCCAAAATTAGCTTTGACAGTTTTGTCAGGCTCTTATATAGACTGAGGTACTTCTTCCTCTCTCTTCCATGTATATACTTAAAAAAACTTGTACACTATATCAGAATTGTATACTGTATGCCTACTCATAAGTCATTTTACATTTCTGTTTTTGGTACATAGCATAGTGTTTGGTGTCTATATAGTAGGGATTAAATATTTGTTAATGAAGGAGTGCTATTAGTTTGAGTTATAGTTTTCTGTTCCCCTCTGCCTGCTGCCTTTGTATTTGTAGTAACTGAAGAGTGAGAATAGGTTTTATACTTCTCCCTCTTAGGAAGAAAACTAACAGAGTGAGTTAAAAATAGAACCAAGGATACTTTTTATGTAGCACTTATTGAAATACTAGTGGCCTGGTGCACAGATTTGTGCACATTGAAAGGAAATTAATTATAGGGTGGCCAGCAGGGCAGGACTGGGCGAGATGGGCTGGAAATGCCTTGGAGTCGACCTCCAGTGGTCCCTCCCTGGCTGGCCTCACCTGGGGTATCAGCATGGCTCGAAGGACATCTGGGGAGTGAGCTGGGTCCCTCTGACAAGTGGGTCCCTTGGCCTGGCCTGCGGGGATCTGGCGGAAACCGGCTCTCTGACATCCTCTGAGGGGTCCCGGAGTGTGGGAGTTGCTGTCACTGGGCAGCTCCTGTGTTGAGCGTCTGCCTCTGGTGGTAAGTGTGCATCATACCTACCAGCCAGTCAGACAGTCGCTTAGCCTTTTATATATATAGATATTTCCTAGATGAAGTAACTCAAGATTTTTACTATTTTATTCATAGACATGGCCAACACAATATTTGGGAACAGAAATGATATTAGACACCAAAGGTTAAGAGGAATGTATGGGTGAATATATAGTAAAGCTAAGAACAGTCAATTCATTAGCTTAATTTTTTTTGGCAATTGGGAAAAAGATCTCCAAATTTTAGCAGTGGGATAACGTAGTTTATCAAAGTTTGAGAACCATTAGTGTACAAAATAAGATTTCATTATATATTGAGTGAAAAGTAGCACATGTGTTGTTAGTTACAAAGTTCATAACCTAATATATTTTTAAATTATTAAAGATTTTCTATTTTTACTACAGGTTCAAGCAATAAATGCAGGAGTGTTTTTCTTTAGGTGCACAGTATGCAATAATAGTGACATATTTCAGAAAGAGATGTTGAGAATGGGAATTCATATTCCTGAAAAGTGAGTACCATGTTTGACAAAAGATATTTTATAAATAGGATTTAATAACAGTGAAAATAGTCATTTATGTCTGATTATGTAATGATGGAGAAGCAGCCACTTCAGATGGGGAAATGTAAAGCAGCCCCTGCCACCTCCTCTTTCTCCCCAGATTGCTAGTTCTTGAGAGCAGGGACTGTGACTTAAATTCTCATTAGTTGATTTATAGTCTCTGAATAAACACCTCAGTTGTATATAATGTTAATTGATTTATACACAAGTATAGTAGACTTCAAAATGGTATGTATAAATTAAGAGAATCAAGATGTGATTTAAAATGTCTAATAAGAATTTTGTTAGTACTTAAAGATGAGGAATCCTGAAATAATGGTACTAAACTTGAAATAAATGGAGGTGAAATGTTAAAAATGTAAGTTAGAAAATTTCTGCTTAATTTTTCAGTTAGCATTTGAAAATTCACTGTGAGACTAAATGTAGGCTAAAATGACACTAAAGGATTTATATCTTGAAGAGAATGATTAATCTTAAAAAACAAATTTTAGCCTCATTCCTGAGTACTATTATGTGAAAAATTTTTATTTTTAGGTTCATTACCAACCCTTTAATGTAACATTTTAGGTCAAAGTATATTTTATGTCTTGCTTCATTTACAGAGATGCATCTTGGGAATTAGAAGAAAATGCTTATCAAGAGCTTCTGCAGCACTATGAGCATTGTGATGTACGAAGATGTCGTTGCAAGGAAGGGCGAGACTATAATGTGCCTAATAGGTATACTGGGAAGTTCACTTGTGCTTAATTCGTGTTCTTATTGAAACCTTCAGCTTAGAAAGCAGAGTTATAGTTAGTGAAATGTATTTGCTCTTAGGATGTTTGAAGTTTTAACTTTATTTTATATTTACATCTGTTTACAGAAAAATTATTGCACTCAGCATAATTGCAACTTATTTTCTTGGTGCATTTTTGTGAGGCTCTATTTTCTAGTGCTGCACTGGTCCTATATGGTAGCCACTAGGCACATGTGACTATTGAACTCTTGAAGTGTAGCTGTTCCCAATTTAGAGGTGTTGTAACAAATACACACTGAAGACATAGTATGTATCTTAGTAGGGCTGCCATACAAAATACAACAAACAAGATGCCTTAAATAATCGAAATTTGTTTCTACTACTCACAGTTCTAGAGGCTAGAAGTCCATGATAAAGGTATCCACAGATTTGACTTCTTCTGAAACTTCTCCTTGACTTGCACATGATTCCCTTCTAGTTATAACTTCACATGATTGTCCCTCTTTCTATGTCCAGGCATATTGGATTAGGGTCCACCCATTTGACTTTATTTTATTTTAATTATCTCTTTAAAAGCCCTATCTCCAAACACAGTCACATTATGAGATACTGGGTGTTAGGACTCCAACATATGAATTTTGGGGAGACGCAATCCAGCCTATAACAGTTAAGAAAAAATAAGTGAAAATATCTTAATTTTATATTGATTACTTATTTAACACTAGAGGCCCGGTGCACAAAAATTTGTGCACTGGGGCGGGGGGTGTCTCTCAGCCCGGCCTGTGCCCTCTCACAGTCTGGGACCCCTCGGGGGATGTTCACCTACTGGCTTAGGCCCGCTCCCCGGGGGATCAGGCCTAAGCTGGCAGTCAGACATCCCTCTGGCAACCCAGGAGCTCTCGGGAGATGTCCACTTGCCAGCAGGGAGCAGGCCTAAGCTGCAGTCATTCATCCTTAGTGCTGCTGAGGAGGTGGGAGAGGCTCCCGCCACCACCGCTGTGCTGGCAGCCGTCAGCCTGGCTGAGAGGAAACTGATAAGAGAGAGAATAAATATGGGCTTGGTAATGAGTCTGAGTCCTGAGGAGCTGCACAATACCTGAATTGTCTGAGCAAGCATTTTGTAGGAAATAATTCCTCATCTTGGATAAGAAAGATAATATGTTAGGTAAGGTAATATATTTACTGAATGCCTCTTCCATATCAGATACACTAGCATAGTAATTGCCAAATATAAAAAAAAAAATTTTTTCCCTTCTTTAATCATAGTCTTTCTGATGTTTATATTCTTTGTGTATGTGCATGTTCATATACATGTTGATACTTAGAGAATATTTAATGAAGAAAATTTTAAACATAAATAATGAAATAGAAAAATATTCTTTAAGAAAAAGTAATGGAGTAACAACGCAGATAATCTATTTTTCTTCCTTTGGGTTTGTTTTGTGTGTGAGGTGGACAGTGAGGCCTGTGGCAGTGTGGGAATTTGACTAAGTTAATATCAAAATGTCAATATTTGCTTCTCTTTATCTCCTCAGCAAATGGGAAATAAAGCGTTGTCAATCTTGTGGTTCTAGTGGAACACATTTAGCCTGTTCCTCACTACGATCGTGGGAACAAAATTGGGAGTGTTTGGACTGTAGAGGTATTACCTACAACTCAGGTAACATTTTGTAATTTTGAATAAAGATGTTCTTATTTAAATGCATATTATTTAAAAGTTTCTACCTATATTTCTGTTATGCTCACACTGGATTTTAAATCTGCAGGGGGTTTCCAAAAAGCCAAAAAACATACATTACCCAACACTAACAATGTTGGAATAAATGATTGCTTGTTGGAAGAATCGTCACCTAAATTACCCAGACAGTCACCTGGAGCCCAGCAAAAAGATCTGCTGAGGTGTGTATTTTGAATTGGAGAAAAATATAAAACTCTATTCTGAAAAAATGAATAGGAAGTAGCTGTATACACTTAGAATGCTAGCTGATCTTTACAGTAGTCTGGAAGAATGTTTTTCAAACAGCAGGACCCAACATTTGATCATGAAATCATGCAATCAGCATTTAAAAAAGAAAATGAAACAGGATAGACTAGAATATAAAGTATCATATTGCACTGGAAATAGAAAGAATGTATGTAAAATAATTTTAGTATTTAATTGTATATGGGCTCATGATGTAGAACACATTTTTATTGTAGATAATTTTCAAGATACTTTGAAAACACATATTTGGAAAGTGTGCTTAAACTGTTATTTGGTTATAGAGTTAGACAGGAAATTAAATAACATGAATATCATGTTACTTTGTTAAAAAAAAAGGAATTATATTTAATATAGAGTTAACTTTTTTATTTTGTAATCATTTGCTTAATACTATAATACTCACTGTAAGTATCGGATAAAATGTCATCTGTGTAGGAAGCTTAAGGCATATGGACAAGTATTTTTTTGTTAATGCCTAACTTTTCATAAGACAGCAAAATGAGTAACTTTGAAAATCATTCTTAACCATTTAAATAAGACTAGAATTACATCTTCATACTGTGTCAGGTATTTGTCCAACTGAAGTTAGGATTTTTAAGTATATGTATAGCTTAATAAAAGAAAGTTCATAGAGCCTTGTTGTTGCCAATAGGGAAAAAATAGACATAAGTAATATTAGTAGCTAAGCATGAGGAAGTACTTTCTTATTAAAAATAATACCAAGTTAAAATTTAGAAGGACAAGAGAATTTTTGTGAAAATATTTGATAACTAGATTTGCAAATAGAAGTGATACTATTTAAGAAGTGAAGAATTGCTGTTTTAAAATACCACTGTATTAACTGAAAATTTGTTACAAATATTTTTATACTAGAGGCCCGGTGCACAAAATTTGTGCAGGGGCGGGGGGGTGTGGGGTGTCAGCCCAGCCTGCACTCTCTCCAATATGGGAACCCTCGGGGGATGTTCGACTGGTGGTTTCAGCCTGATCCCTGTGGGCCTGGTTGCCCCTAACTGCCCTCCCCTGTAGGCCTGGTCACCTCCAACTACCCTCCCCTACAGGCCTGGTTGCCGCCAACTGCCCACCCTTGCAGGCCTCATCGCCCCCAACTGCCCTCCCCTGCTGGCCTGATCGCCCACAACTGCCCTCCCCTGCCAGCCTGGTTGCTCCTAACTGCCCACCCCTGCAGGCCTGGTCACCCCCAACTGCCCTCCCCTGCTGGCCATCTTTGACCACATGGGGGCAGCCATCTTGTGCAAGGGTGTGATGGTCAATTTGCATATTACCTCTATTATATAGGATTTTTAGTATAAAAAAGATGTTCATGTTAGTTTTAAATAATTTTAATGTTTAGGTTTCTAAAGATGTTATGCCAGGGAAGTTTGAGTCCTTGCACCTGCTCTAATATGCCATCATGTTTAGAAGAACAACATAGTATTTCCAGTCCAGACAGGAGCAAGGAATCAACTTGCAACAAGACAGTTTATTTTTGAAGGATTATCTTCCAAAAGATTTTGATTTCATTCAACCCGGGTTAATGACTATGGTAGGGGATTGTGTGAAGAAAGAAAAAAACAAAACCTGGCCCACATTGGGACATTATAACATCTTAGGATGGGAAAAATTTATACTTAATGTATAAAGATGATAATGACATTGCCCCAAACAGGATCATTTTAAGTACATCAATACCAATTACAGATGGAAAAACTGAGGCAAGGTTGCAAATTCTCTTTAAAATATTAGTTCTACTGTTAACTTTATGGTTAAAAATACATTGTAATTTCTTAAACATATAGTTCTCTTGTATAGTAAGCAGAGACTATGTTTGCTTTATTTTTTTAAAGGATCTAGTAACTATGAAATAAGATACAGTTTTTTTTTTTAAATATATTTTATTGATTTTTTACAGAGGGGAAGGGAGAGAGATAGAGAGTTAGAAACATCGATGAGAGAGAAACATCAATCAGCCGCCTCCTGCACATCTCCTACTGGGGATGTGCCCGCAACCCAGGTACATGCCCTTGATCGGAATCGAACCCAGGACCTTTCAGTCCGCAGGCTGACGCTCTATCCACTGAGCCAAACCGGTTTCGGCAAAATAAGATACAGTTTAATAAGTGTGTAGTAGTCATTGGCCAGAAAGGTCAGAGTTTGAGATTCTTACTCTTTCTTATACCTAAATCTACTGAATTGATCAAATTTGAGATCATCATCTATGAACATTCTCATAAATCAGTTATGACATTAGATTATTCTAATTTGGTAGGATATTGGGGAAAGAGAATCAATAATTTTGAACTAAAGTTATTAAATAACTGTTTTGGGTTCCAGTGGCAGCATTGTCTGCTTTTGGGTGAGAGATGGGAAGAACTTTCTTTTAATCTTTTTTTGTTTCTTTTTAACTGTATATTGCCATGTCACTTAAAGCATTTTAGAGTCTTTACCTCTGTGTTTAAATTCATGTTTTATAGGCAAGGCAACAAATTTAGGAGAGACATTTCAACAATAATTATAGAGCTAGGATTTCAAATTACTAAAAAAACAAAAAGATTATATATCAACAAAGCCGATATCTGGAATAGTGCCTTAAATGGATTCAGAAATCAAAAGTTTAATCCTGCATACACAATTGAAGTTGCATATGTTAATGAAAATGATAATTTTGGAACAGAGCATCCTGGATCAAAGCAAGAATTCCTAAGTCTTTTAATGCAACATCTTGAGAACTCACCATTGTTTGAAGGGTCCTTGTCAAAGAACTTGTCCCTAAATTCTCAAGGTAATTATTTATTATTGTACATACTGCATATACCATGTGTAAAGGAAGAAATGGCTGGTTAAAATTGATATTCAATACATGTGGTAAAAATGTATAATTTACTTTGTTAATAAAATACTGATAGAATCACAGAAAAATGAGGGTGGGGCAGTAATAGTTTTAAAAGCAAATTTTGTGGTGAAATATTTTCTTTAAGAATGTTCTTAATTTCTTTATAGCAATATCCTGCTTGATAATGATTCCATAATTAACTGCAACTTCTTAAAAATGTATTTTATATTCATTCTAATTTTATTTGAATAGAGTGGGCAAATGGATGGATGATTATCGGAGCCCTTCCTGTTCAGACATTTGTAAATTGCAGTTGGCACGTTTCTTCACAACCTACTAATTTTATAACATAATTTTCTGGTCCACATGTAACAGATTTTTAAATGTATTTTTGCTTTCAAGAATTTTTCTTACTCAATTATGTATATGATACTTTCATGTGTTTATTTCTACGGAGGAATTAATATGATTAAAACAGGAATCTCAAAACTCTGGTTAATTCTAGCATTCTTTTTTAGTAACTTTTATACCATTTTTGCTATAATATAGGAAATTTGAAAGTGAGAAGACATTTCAGTCCATTTAAATTCCTTCCTATATATTCTCTAGAACTTCTTTGCTATTACCTGAAGCATGATTGAAATAATTGAGAAACTACCAAAGATCATTTGTACTATATATACTACCCACAATTTAATTATAAACTCAAAAAAATATTTAAGTAATTAATAATGTTAACTCAAGGCATTTTGGGTTTATAGGTGTGTTTTTTTAAGAGTTTCTGTATTTTTTTTCTACAGTAAGTTATTACTTTATATTCAGAAAAAAGAAATTTTGTGTGTTTTAGGTGAAATTTATATTTTATACATGTTATAGCTTCTATGAATTGTTATTTTCCCATTTATCTAATGCTTAGATTATTTTTAATTTATTATAGATGTATTTATTATATATGATGTATAATAATAATAGACGTGTATTTAATGTATTTCCATCTATTTACAGCTCTGAAAGAGAATCATTACTATGAAGCTGGCAAAATGCTTGCCATTTCTTTGGCTCATGGTGGTCCTTCACCTGGTTTTTTTTCTAAAACTTTGTTTAACTGCCTTGTTTTTGGACCAGAAAATACCTTTCCAACTTTAGATGATGTTTCAGACTTTGATGTGGCACAGATTTTAATCAGGGTAAGAAATGTGCATGTTTATTAAAATGTAGACTACATTCTAAGTAGATTTGAATATAAATACTATATCCACAATAGAGTAATAATATTCTGTGGAGTACCTAAGGGGTATCAATATTTCTGTTTATCAGCAGAGTACACAACCAGTTAAAAGATAGATGTATAATGTGATTATTAAACAGGCACCGGCGAGTTCCCTTACCTCTTCCACTACATAGAGACAAAACTGAAATACAGCCATCTATGAACCAGGAAGTAGCTCTTACCAGACAGCAAGTCTGCCAGCACCTACCTTTATCTTGGACTTCTCAACCTCCAAAACCCCGGGAAATAAATGTTTGTTCTATAATAATAATAAAAGATTTAAAGGTCAGACAGCTAGAGATCAAAGTGCCAAGTTTAATATTGATAAAACCAATTGGATAATGTGACTTCAGTCTGTGCTCAAAATGGCTAGTTAACATTTCTCAGAACTAGATGGATTTATCTGTCCTGCCGGAGACAATATAAAGCAGGTTTCTTGTTTCATGCTAGAGAGCAGATAAAAGTATGTTTTCCTGCAAGGCAGTGGATCTGAAGAGAGCAAGGACTTAGTTTACCAGTCAAAAAACTTGTAATTCCTCCTATAGGGAGTTATGAGTGCTAGGTTGAATTTTTTCCATGTGGAAATTAGTGGGTAGACTCAATGTTCCCACCTAAAAAGAGTTAACATTTATTGAGACCTATACTGCACATGTTACATGTACAAATTCAATTTAGTTATCGTATGCTGGCTGCATAAGGATCATTGCTTACATCAGGCATGTCAAACTCAAAGGCTAACACGGGCCAAAAAAACAAGGTTTAAGTTTATGTGGCCTGCAAAAAAACCAGAAGTTCCAATTTTCATAGAAATGTAGGCTTATTTTGATAGAGACAAGCTGAATACAAAGGGCTGAGATAAGTGAGTAATGGTTAACATAAAATAATCCAACACTGAATAACTGCACAAATTAATAAATGTAACACAAATAAACCTATTTTTCTTGTTCTCCGAAAGTGAAATATTTCCTGTTGTACACACCAAACAAGTCAGTCCAAGACATGGCAATCAGCTGCTAAATATTTGCTGCTAGTATTAGTGGAAACAAATGGTGCGCCTGTGCGTAAGAAGAATAAGGGAAATGAATGCAACACAATTAAGGGAAATGAATTAGCAAACGTTGTAGTTTGTTATTAATAATCCTATCTAATAATAGACAAACATGGTAATTGACCGTACCTTCACTACGCCTCCCATTGGGTAAGCAGCAAGATATGCAAATTAACTGCCAACAAAGATGGCGGTTAATTTGCATACACAGGCGCGAAGTGTCGCAGTAAAGACTGACGGCTCCGGCGCGAAGGCTTGAAGGCAGCTCCAGCCGGAGCGAAGGCCTGGATCCCGGGTTCCGGAGGAAAACCGGTGCCGGCAGCCAGGGGAAGGGAAGGCCTATTGCACGAATCTTTTCGTGCAACAGGCCTCTAGTTATATATAACAGGATATTGTAAAAATTTATGAAATTGTTATTAAAATGTTTCTTACATACCATTATATTGGCTGGGCTTCAAAAATATTCGTTGGTGGCTGGTGGGCTGAGAGTTTGACAAGCTTGGCTTACATGTTACTGATTTGGAGATAATGAAAGCCATTCAACTTTTGTTCCGTTAACCTCCTCTATCTAGTCATTGTCTCATTTAATTAGCCGTATAGTTAATGGTTAAAAGCATACAAGTCAGATTTTAGATCGAAATAACTAAACTATAAGCTGTGTGACTTGGGCAATGAAGTTAGGCTTAGTTTTGTTAAGCCTAACTTTATTGTCTCACTTCCTCTTTTCTATGGATTTCTTAACTTTTTTTAAAATATATATTTTTTTATTGATTTCAGAGAGGAAGAGAAGGGAGAGACAGATACAATTTGGATGTTGGTACACTTGAGGTTGTCCCAGAGGCTCCTTGCACTATCTTCATATATTTGTATTCTTTTTTTCCTTTTGCTTTTCTGGTTGCGTGTTTTTTGCTTCTTCATATTTCAAATCTTTGACTTGATTCTTGGGATCCTCTAGTCTGCTGTTGGATCTCTGTATATTATTCTTTATTTCAGTCAGTGTATGCTTAATTTCTAATTGGTCCTTTTTCATATCCTTGAGGGTCTCACTATATTTCTC